AAGGTAACGAATGATCAAAAACTCATAAAGTTAAGATTTATTAAACAATATAATAGACTATAAATTCTAGCCTTAAACTAACTTCATAATTTTAGATCAGATATTTTCCTATTCTTGATGAATTCGTTAAACGTCCATTAAAATTGAAAACTTCTATATAACAGTTTATCATTCTTAAAGATATATGATGTATTATTGCCTGTCTCTTTGTCCCATATCTTTCGTCCTGGCTATTCGAACCATTTTACATTCTCGCAACATTTTCGTGCTTCGTAATACGTTTCTGTTTTATATATTTTTATATATCACTGGACATACATACACACACACTGACACTTGCGTCGACGATTTGGTTGGATATTTTTTTGTATAGGAGATTAAAGATTCAGTTGAGTTGATAACCGCGATTTCCCAAAAATTATATTTTTTAGAAGCTTCAAGAGCCTTCTAAGATATTCTCTCGAATTTATAAGCCGAAATTCCCAAAAGTATCAGAGTTATAATATTTTGAATAAAATCGGTCACGCTGGACGCGCAAATGTAATTGAAGAATTTAATAATAAAACAATAATTGGAAGTATGTACATACTTCCTTTTCTCATGTCTTTCATATCTTTTAGACCTTTCTCCACGAAATTTCTTCATCACTTTCTTTTGTATTTTATTGGAAGGTTATTGTTGTACGATAATAACAGTTCTAGATTAATATTTGCAAGAGTAAAATATTTAATTCAATCATTATTAAGAATAGTGTGTTTAACTCAATCATTATTAACGGAACATATATATTTTATCAGAAATTTGAATTCGTAATTCGAAAAAGCTAAATATGTTGTCATAAAATTGTATTTTAAAATTGGTGTCATAAATATGTGTGTGTGTTGGAACTATTCAGTCGATTTCACTGAAATTCTGCATAATTATTCTTAATAAGATCATTTAATTTTTGTCATATAATTTTTTATATCTATTTTAAAATCTTTTATAAAAGAAGAGAAGAAATTTTGACGATGAATTGATAAATCAGTTTTTAAATATCAAAAATATTATTAAAAATAAATATTTTAAAAATCTAATGCTTTATATACATATACATATATAATTACTTTTTCGATCTATTTATTGAGACTTTCTCCCTCCATTTTGTGAGTGTTATCTGCCTTGAACTCTTTTTTCTAAACACCTTACATATATACATGTACATACACACATAATTCATTTATTTTAAAAAGTTTAATCTTCATTTGTTTGAGATAAATAATGATATATTTATAACGCTACAAAAGTTTATTAACAGTAACTAGCTTCATAGAAGTAGTGATTACAACGTGACTACTAACTTTATTAACTTTTAACTACTAACTTCTTTAATGAAGTTTATGTAACGTAAAATGATAGTATTTCTAATTATTGATAAAAAGTTTATTATTGTAAAGTAGAGAAATTGTTTACCAAAACTTATTTAGTATTGTAATTCAAATATATTTGGTAATATCTGATCCAGGTGCTTTTCGGGTCACTGAAAATTCAAATTTATGGACAAAATTTTTAAATTTAAAAAATTCAAGATAGTAGGCACAATATGGCAGCTAAAAATATAAAAACTTGGATTCATGAATTTACATTTGTAGGGATTTTTCGCGGAATTCAAACCTACGGTCGAACTTTCTAAGTTTTCAAAATTCAATATAGCTTTAATATAGCGACTAAAAATATTTAAAAAATTCGATCATAAATTTGAATGCAACGACCTTAAAAATCTCTACCAAAATATATCTCACAACATTAGAACAACTTTTTGTATTTTTAGCTATTATATTGGATTCATTTTGAACTTTTGAAATAATTTGAAAATTTAAATAAAAAATCCGGATCCTACAACTCCAAATATTCCTTTGAAAAAGAATTTCGAAAAAAATAGTGGTTTGTTGGGATTTTTTATAAAAACCATTATATTTTTCACATTTTATGACAAAGAAAATGTTAATAATAAAGAATAATATGACTGAAAATTTTATTACAGTATTGCAGTGTATTATATGGTGTACTGAGTATGAAAGAAAATTTGCGTAACAATTTTTATACAAGGTTTGTAGAGACTACATTTTTTTGAAAATATACAAATTTTGACTATTTGCTTATTTATAATATTTTTTAAGTTAACAATTAATTTTGATACATTTTTTAGATACACTTTGTTTTAATGTACTTCTTTTTTATATACTTTTACTAATTTTGATATACTTACTAATATTCTATAAGCAACCCTTTAAAATATATAATAATATAAAAACCCCACATTTTTATTAGAAAGTTTTTGAAAAATTTCAAGAAATAAAAAATAGGGAGGAACATTAGGTGCTCCATACCGCAAAGGATCAGTCAACGTATGTGTGCAATATAGTCTAATCAAAATATTTCAATAGTCAACGAAATATTTTAGTCACACAACGCGAATTATAAACAATGTATATTTGTACATACTTTGTATCACGTCATGCGTTGATTTGAGACGTAGCAATGTGAGAAAGTACACGATGCACAAGAATTTAAATTTAATATTGACATCTTCAAAAGAGATCAATATTAAAACAAAATCATGTTTACTATTCGCGAGCCGTCGTTGCTTGCCAATCACTAACAAACACATTCGGTATCCGACAGATCATAATCACCGTTCTTGAAATATTCTGAACTTTCAAGATGGTCAAGTTATGAAATTAATAGTATAATTGCATATGCTATACGTATCGAAAGTGTCTTTTGTAACATTCGACTAATATGTCAAATCATAACAGTCGTAGTCAATGTGCGATTGTTAGATTTACTCGTTTTTTATTGTTTCTATGATATTATGTAGTATCATATGATCGTTAAATATTTACAGAATATTTGTCACAATGGTGGTCAGAAGCTGACTCCAGGATACATGACAGAGAATATGAAGTGGCAATTGACGAATATTTTCTCCGCTTTATTGATTCTTCAAATTCCATTAAAATTTTTAATATCAATAAAAAAAAATAATAAAAGTATTTCGAGAAAAAACAGTATTTATTGTTTTATTTATATTTATTTTTACTTATTATTCTTTATTAAAATGTTTAATATTTATTTGTGCGTATATTCCATTTGCAATTAAGTAAATTACATAATATATTGTTGTTGAAATAAAAATAAAAATTAAACGTGTGTGGATAAAACTACCGAGATATAATCGAAAATATTAATTTTCAAATATAAGTAATTTTTTAAATTTTGTGAACAAAGCAGCGGTAAAAAAGTAAACATTTTCAGCATCAAAGAATAACTTTCTGTATAGAATTATATCCTGAGATGTTTCCTTGATATTAAAAGTTTAATAAAATCTACAAAGTTAAAACATGGAACCAAAATTTTGTCTCGATAAATCTGATAGAAATAAAAATATGTCCAAACGTCTTTTTGTATGTCTCGTGGACAGGCGAAGTAAAATAAAGTTTTTCGCAAATTACATTCTCATCTCATTCGCGTGTGCACGCATGCATTTCGTTTTAATGATCGTAGAAAGGATTCTACGAGGAGGCGTCGCGTCGTTCAGCCGCTCTTTTTCCGAACTTGTGCTCGCAATCGCGTGTTTCATGACGACGGGAGGGGTCCTAATCAAACGACGGCGACGGACATCTTCAATGTTTATGCCGTCATGCCATTCCTTCGTCTTTTTTCGTCGTATAATGCTCTTACTCTGTCATTCCGCGGCGCCACTAATACCGGATCCCGTCACCTTTTCATGCCGAACGCCCGCGTGATTTACGAGCAAAGAATGGATCTACCGCTGCTGCGGACCCGACTATGTGTCTGTTTATACCTAATGCGCGCCTGATATGGCCATAACGACAGAAATGTATTCATCCTGCCTGTTTTACGATGCGATCATGACGCGACAAATTAATAAATAGAATGTTTAAGCAAACGATCAATTTTACGTAAACTCGGAAGCTCACAGCGCATATACATTTCAATCAATCGTTTTGATCGACAGCTGACGGTCGTAAAATTTCAAAGCTTCCGAATGTACAACGGACGAAAACTAAAATGAATATTACCATAAAATATTCGACTATTTTTACTCATGATGATATCATAACTATTCTTTTATTGTAAAACTTAAAAAACACATGTAGAAAGTGTCGAAAGTATGAAGGAATGAACGAAAATGTCTATGTTAGAAATATCAAATAGAACTTCTTTGAAAATAGTTATAAAGTTACTTGTTGCAATTTACGTTTACCGTCGTCTCGTCGCGATGCACACGCGCACGTTAATAAAAAAATGCCCATCGACGGAAACGGCGTATATTCGCGAAAGTGATCTCGTGATGACGCACTGGCGGACGATTAGCTTGCCTCGTCGGTTGGTCCGATTTCCTAAGTGCAGATGGTAACTCCTTCATTCTCTAATCGTACGGTCGGCTCGAGGATCGCGTGATGATACCTTTAAACGAGGCATCCTGTAGCTGGTTAACCGTACAGACCCGCCAACATTTGTCTCAGCGTGTACACGCTAGGCCCGGGCAGAGAGAGAGAGAGAGAGAGAGAGAGAGAGAGAGTCACACTGTCCGAAATAATAGTTCCTTACTACAACTAAGGTTAGGACTTACCCCACGCCGAAGATGAGGAGGAGGAGACAGCAGACTCCATGCACAATCCATGTATTCGTAGAATAAACTCTGCTGTGTGATGAAAATACTCTAATTGCCTCGTTAGTTTTAATACGTGACTAAGGTGATGGCGACAATTAATGTGCAATTGATCAATATATTTATTACTACTTTCGTATTTTTTGCACCAATTATCCTGGAATATATTTCTATCTGAATATGTGATTAAAAGTGTACATATGTATGTATGTGTGTGTTTGCGTATGTAATTGAATTTGTTAATATGTTGAGTGTGATTTCACAAAATAATTGCTTCAAGAATAAACGGGAAGAAATTCAACGGAAGAAAATATTCGGTACGATGTGTTCGGTACAAGAGTTTATTAGGGTTTATTTACAAGGGAGCAGCTTGCACAGCAATAGGTGTATGCGTCTTCACAACACAAGCATTAACAATATAACACTCTACACTAAAGATAGTCGCCGCGGCGATAATAATCATTTAGGCGCTCGCGAAGAACGCACGAAGAACGCGCCCGCACATGCATTTTCTCTGTCCTTCGGAATCCCGAAACGGACATTCGTTGATCACCTTCCTTTTGAGAATCTTCATCTCAGGAGGATTTTTTATATCAATAGGGATATTAAAATTTTGGGAACTTGTCAGTTGTTGGATCAACCAATCGTTAGTTACATCGAGATTTTCGAATCTCTCGTTTCAATTTTTCTTTTTCTTCCTTCCCGGCCACGTGGTTGGTTTGGATGTAATTAAAAGGCTTGGAAGAAGATGAAATTTACGTTTAAGTATAAAAAGTCTCTGTGGTAGATTTTTGGCAGGAACGTCGGTTTTCCGGATCATGCGCTTCGCGTTCGAACGCGCTCATTTTGCGTTTTCCCCGCTTCGGCAAGTGCGGAATCGAAACATAAATAACGATAACAGTAGGCTCGTAATACGAAATATACAACTTATGTTACAAGAGATAGTGGCGCAGTTTTTATTTTTTTACGCGCGTCGCGACTGAGTATATGTATATCTATATACAGGTAGTCGTCGTACAACTTACTTGCTCTTATGGATGCATATGCGTGTATTATGTCCGGTAATTATGCCGCTTCGAGAACCAGATTGGTTACATATTTACAACGTCTGTATTTTTTTTGTGCGCCCCCTCGCTCATTCATTTTGTATCCTTTCAGAAAATGTGATGTGATTAAATCAATGACGTCCCTCCCGTACAAAAATACACATTTGCAAAAAAGTAATTCTGACGACGTACAGCGAAAAATTGTTGTGTAATACAAAACTTTTTGACGGATATAATCAGACTGAAATTATATCCATTATCAAAAAAATTTCCATATTTCCTGAATCATCGTTAACAAGGTGTTCCTTGCCAAGGTTTTAGATATTTACGAAGAAAGAAAAATAATCAACAAATTGCAACGCGATGTGAGCAATTTGCTCAATTAATAAATCATTCGACTAGAAGATAAATTATTTAATTGAATATATACGCGCCTCTTTATAGGCTCGCTTTAAAAATTGTTGCGAAAAATAAATATATACCCGTATGCTTTGAGCGTGGTGTGTTATGTGTGTGTGTGTGTGTGTGTGTGTGTGTGTGTGCGTGCGTGCGTGTGTTTGTCGTCAAAGGATATACATCTCGCGTAAAAGTTTAAAAAAGAAATTTATACAATACAATATCTCATTAACCACCTCTCAGCGTTTTCTGTAAGTGTAATAGATTCATTTCTACCCTTTCTCGTGCAACATTTTTTCCTAACAACTTCGTAGCAATGCATTCGTAAACGCAACGATGCCCGACTACCAAAATGGCGGCTCAGCCTTATCGCTTCCGATCGTCGATCGGGGCATAGATATATATATATATATACTATAGAGTAGAGACCCGGCGCCTCTCTCGGCCCCAGAAAGTCCAGTCGGGAGACAACGGAATTGTCGAGTCACGTGAGAGGGCACGAATCCTCTGTACTTGCCACCATGTTCGCCAAAGGTCGAGAGTTCAGTCGCGAGAGGCGACCAGCATTCAAAGACTCGCGGCGATAGCCTTACGTTACTTTTCTTTCCCGTTCGTTTACACTTCTCTCCTTGTAATAGCGTGAGAAGGACAAAATGCAATGCCGGTTCGATGCCAATTCGACCGCGCGAACGTCGAGAACCTTTGACACCACAATTATCGTCGCTATTCATGCTGGGTACTGCGGCTTTCGGTCGATATCGCCCGGTTCCGCGGCGACATCCTGCCGATGCCATTTCCTCTCCTTTCGGACATCGTGTTACACATGACACGTCACACGAAAGGGTTCGCAAGGTGAATTCTTTCGTCAAGTTACGCGTTCTCTTACGTTCGCATTCAAAGCGCGCGAAAAGAATCGATCTTCGCTTCACGTGACTTTTCACACAAGGTTTTTTTATCACATTACATATATATAAATGGAAATATTTTCTTATACAGTCATCTTGTATTCTTACCGAACGGGAATTAATTCCTTCGGAATTCCAAGTCACCATTCGATAGGCATTGCACGTCTAATTAAAAGAAAATAATAGAGAAAGAGGAAAAGAAAGAAATCCTGCGGTTTTCAAGGTCCTATAATTTATAAACTGCGATCATAGGGAAAAAGAAGAAGTTTTAGATTAGACAAGTGTCACAATGGATGAAATCCATCTTCGTCGCGCCATTGAACTCTCGCCGTGTCTTCATGAAGAAGGAGTATATTGTACGACTGCGAATGTGATTCTCGTAAGTGACACCTTTAATGAACCGTGCGTCTCGCAAACGCGTGAACGAATTTGTCACTATGCCCTTTGGCCGCGGGAAACCTCGAATTTCGTCAGTCCCTTTTCCTTGCCACCGTCCGAGACGCCACGAGACGTTCGAAACATAACATATCGGAAGCACGTGCTTTTCAAAGAGACCGATCAATTGTCGCCGCGCGCGGTGCGACCTCGAGTTTAAAAAAGTCTCGAAGCCCACCTGAAGTCCATGTCTCTCGTTCTCTATGAGGAGGACGCAACGCAGTTTCCTAATGGAGCCAACGACTACGAAGGTGACAGGTCCTGCGCCTCCCTGCTGAGACTGTCTGTGGGCGATGGGGTGGCTCTTCTGGACGGTGACGGCGAGGGCGCGGCTGGCGTCGAAGATTTCGGGGCGGTCGCTGTGTGGTAGGGTGAGAATCGGTGATGTGCCAGGGCGAGGGGTGACGGGTAGAGCGGCCGCGGCGCTGCCGGTCCCGTCGGATTCTGCTGGGAACTGGAGGCGGCCAGTTGCTGCTGATGGTGTGCCGCGGCGAAGAGAGTCGGCCCAATGGATGAAGCCCACCAAAGGTGGCCGAGTTGTTGCTGCTGCTGCTGTTGGTGCTGTTGCTGCTGCTGCTGGTGGCTAGTGCTGGCCGTCGAGGCACCCGGATAGACCAAAGCCGGGCTGACCAGTTGAGCGTAAGGACTAACGGCGACAGCCGCCGCGGCTCTCAGCAACATTTGAGAACGCGCCGCCCATAAAGCCTTCTCTTCGAGGCTGAGATTGCTGACCGTGCCAGCTTGGAGCTGTTCCATCTCAAAGGGCAATCTAGGCGGAAACCTCAGCGACTGCTGCTCCGCCAGCATCGACTCCATCGTCTCCCTGAAAGGGAAACTGCTCCATTATATATCACGTCTGTCGCTCGTACTCTTCCAGGCGACGCCGTGGCCGGAATCTCCTTCGTCTCCTTCCCTCTCATATCGTTCTTTCATGCACCATTCGCATACACAAACACGTACGCGCTCGATTTATTTATGCTATTAATTAATAGGCATCTCGCTATAAAAATCGTCGCGTGCGCATGAGTTTTTTTTTTGAGCAATGCCAGATTTATAGATTTCATAGATAAATGATTCTTCCTCAGCTATGTAAGCTTAATGGTAGATTTATCAATGCTCAGCTAAAAGTGACTGCTATATAACTGAAAGTTAAGAGATGGCTAAGAGTTATTGTTCTAGTCACTCATCTATATGTTTATCCATTGCATTTCTGACTATTAGTTAAGTAATTGTCAGTTACTTTCGTTTTGACGTGGGTTGGCAATATTGTTAGAAAAGTTATACGTTTCTAATTGGTTATGAGGAATTCACACTGATTCGATGGTACGACATACGTTATACGATACCCAATAGAAGAATAGTTTTCTGATAGAGAATGCAATTCTCTTGAAAAGCTGTTCTTCTAAATATCGGACGCTGTGTGTATCCTCCATTACTTTATACTCTTCCAATTTGAATGACATACGTAATTTAAAAATTAAATAGAACAAAAATTTTGTGTCAGTGTCAATGTGTTACAATGGATACAAAGAAAAATAAAAGAGGTCCAAATTTTACTGCTAGCCATAAGCAATTATTATTAAGGTTATATAATGAATACAAAAATATAATCGAATGCAAAAAAACTGGTGGTTGCATGTAGAGAAAAGAAAAGGAAACATGGGAAGAAATAGAAAATTTATTCAGCAGTCTCACAACAAGCAGATTGTACGGTGCCTATCCGAATATACCTATCCGTAAAATAATATTTCTATCACGTAATATTCTTTAAGTGTTGACATTAGAGAAGTCTTGACATAACTGTGAATACACTTCACACGTTCGTTTTCTTTCTACGTAACACCGGCTGATATTCTTTTACATATATCTCAGTATATATACTATATATTGATTTGGTTTTACGACATTTGAATGAAAACTTCAAGAAAACACGCATTTTTGAAAAATTTGCGCTCGCATCAGCTTATCCTGTATAATCACTAATAAAGTCTTTATGTCCTCTGAAAAGGGATATCCGAGTGGTTTGCTAGACGTCCCCTCAGAAGGAACATCCGAGTGCAAAGGGTTAAATAATTGTTATACCGGATGTTCACGTTGTTTAGGGAGTTGCATCAACACAAAAATGAGGTTATATTATATTACTCGCACAGTTCGCTATATATAGACCGCCAAATCTGTAGTTACCATCTGTCAGTTATGTTTAGCAAACAAAAATTCCGCCAGTTACTTTAGCAAACACTATGGTTAACGGTTTATGTGTAACTGTTAGTCATCCTGCATTGATAAACACATAATTTACAGTTAACACTTAGCTATTAGTCAAATTTAACTTAGCTGAACATTGATAAACCCACCCTAAGTATTTTAATATAAAAGACAAAAAATGTTTTACGATAAAGGGATACGTTTCAAAAGAAATCGACACGTTGATTCGCATATCGCTCCACAGTCATTACCAAAGATTTCGTTACCAACGGGTTGAAATTCGCTAGCATGTAATGTAAGTCGTCATGCAACTCACCTCTCGAAGTCGGTGAGACGAGAAGAGTCTCGAAAACCCTTCGCGAACGGATTACTGTCGATCTTGAGCTTCGTGATCTGCAACAGACAAGAAAAGTGCCGGTTGGTTAGTTTGCCGGACACGGCAGAGAAGATCACGCGCACAATTGGACACGTCGAGAATCCGATCATCCCCGGACTCGTATTAACATCGCCGACTTCTCGCAAATTCTCCGATCTTATTACTGAGGCGTACGCGCGCACGAGGGCTCGGCGTCGCTTGAAGGGAAAATTACGTCACCGAGCCAGCAACGGCGCGTGGCGGAAAATGGCCGGCTGTTTCGAAACAGTTCGTTCCATCGATCGGGAGCCAACGGCTCGTAAAATTAGAAGAAAGCGGCGAAGCGTCGTACCTACCACCGTCACCAAAGAGAGAGAGAGAGAGAGAGAGAGAGAGAGAGAGAAGGGTGAGGGGCAGACTAGCGGGAGAGGTCAGGGAATCAGAGGGGATTGTAGGAAGAAAGATAGGGACGCGTTGCTGATGCACGGAAATCCTCGCAAAGCGTTACGCAGAGCGAAATCACACGGGGGATGCAGCGGCTCGTTCCGAGATTTTTCCTGCAGTTGGAAAATGGGAGGAGAGACGGGGGAAGAAAGAAAGTGAGTGAGAGAGCCGGCGTGTAGCGGCTGATTCATTGCCACGTCGAGCTGAGTCGAATATTGCTTTTGACTGAGATGAGGTAAGCGGCCGCGATGTACGAACTGCATGATGATAAACCTTTCAGTAAGGTGTCGTGCACTGAAAATTGAATAAATTTTTCGGTGTTTCCTCTTACTTTTTTTTCGTAACAGAGCGAATCGTGCATTTTATGAGAGCGACGTAAGAGAAATTACGAGGCTCGTTAAAACGTAAGAGTGTGAATATTTTAACGAGTTTTTATGTATGTTGAGATTTTGCATGCGAAATTTTGCATGCGAAATTTTGCAGTAAGATATTGAATAACTTTGCGTTCTCGTTATACAACGTATTAACAATTATTCTATGATTATCGCCAGTTTAGCGTTCATTCGATACCAAAATAATTGATAAATTTCCCTTTTCCCCATCCACCAGTTTTATAGTCTCCTATTCCTTTACAGAGGAGGTTTGTCGGAACTTTGCTCCTTTGCTGTCCTGGGGCACCCTTATTGCGAGAGCAAAGGACATTTTGTTCGCAGTCGCGCCACTCGACTGCCGCGGTGGTCGACGAGAGGAAATCCGAGAAAGTTGGCCTATGTGTTGGGCTACACATCGTCACGTCTGTAGTAGTCTCTTAAGCGGCCGGACTGTTCTCTCTGCCTTCCTCTCCCTCTGCCCTTCTCTCTCACTCTCTCTCTCTCTCTGTCTCTCTCTCTCTCTCTCTCTCTCTCTCTCTCTCTCTCTCTCTCTCTCTCTCTCTCTCTCTCTCTCTCTGTCTCTCTCTCTCTCTCTCTCTCTCTCTCTCTCTCTACATACAGGATGAACCAGAGCAACTGTCTGAGCAACATGATTTTTTCAAGAACGGCTATAAAGCCGTGTGAGAGGATAAAGCTGTAAAGCAAATATTTTATGCGTTAAATCGATTTCGAATAAAATCTAATTGTAATATTTTCAAAACATTCGATTATCTATGAGGAGGTTCTTTGGTGCGCTAGCGTCGGTTTCTTGAAACTTTTAGATAAAAGAAATATTTTTTGAGTTTGAATTTTGAAAGTGTTTATGAAAACAAATAACTTTTATTTCAAACGAAATTCTTCGAGATTCTTAACTATTGTAGAAATTTTCAGTGAATTTTGTATTTTACAAAATCTGTTGCTCTTATGCTAATGTTGTTTTTAGCTAAATTGATAAAAGTTAAATAATTATGGAAAAAAGTTCTAAGATTGAATAATAGAAGCTCACATTAGTAATGGCAGTCTCATACTATGTGATTATATTTACGATAAAATTTCCTAAACTATCAAACGTAACAATGTTTATGTTCTTTTAATTTTTTACTTTTCGATTCGAGCCGTTCCGTACGTTACTATTTGTTTAGGATTAGCCAAACGTCTCGTTGCTTGGTTGTAGTGGCTCTGGATGATAAGTAAGCAGATAGACGGACAAAACATTTTCTTCAAACCTTTCCGCCAAAAAGATCTGTATAAAATATTTGAAATACTTAAAATGAGTTATTTAGTTCAGCTTTTTATTGGTTTTGTGTTATCCTCGTATTAAACTTTTAATTTTTATAGAGAAGAGCGTGAAGTTACTATTATACCAAAAGTCAAAATTAATGATGCGTAGTTAGAAAGTTCTTATGAACTATTTTTTTCTAGAATCAAGTTCTATCAATTTGGCCAAACAATGTGAGATTTTGTAAAATCCAGAATTTATTGAAATTTAAAACATTTTTTAAATTTATTGAACATTTTTAGAAGAGTTAAGAAGTTTCAACAAATCTCTGTGGACGAAAGTTGCTTGTTGTTATAACCATTTTCAGAATTTAAGCTCAAAGTATACCTCTTTCGATTGAAATTTTCGAGGAGCCTACATTCAGTCTCCAATAAATTCGCATAACAAGAAGTCGGAAAGTATCTTCATATTTTATTAAAATATTTCTATATCTCCGATATTTTATAAAAAAATTTTTTAAATAAAAGACGTCTCTGATTTCAGAGAGAGAGAGCAAAATATGGTAATATTATTATGTAATCAAAATATTTTGTTAAAGTATATTTCAATGTCAATTTTGATTTTTTGAATAAAATCATATGTCGCGTACGCCACCCCTACAAAGATTCACTCTAAGTCGGTTCCGCACCTAAATTGGATGTTTTGCCTTACCTACGAGGCCACCCACAACGCAACGGATGCACAGGTGGCCTCTCTCTGAAGTCCCCTGTTGTCAACCTAACGCGCGACGCTCTTGCCCTTCCTCTGACTTGCCTTATTTTGCCTTGCCTTGCCTTTCCGGCAACGCTGTCGTCTTTGCCTCTGTTCCCGTCCACAAAAGCTTTGAGGCGAGAAATTTCGTCGGGTTGGATCCCGAGGGATGTACCTGACCCGGGCCCGTAGTTTCCAAACACGAGACGTGTTGGACCAATGAAATTTTCCGCACATTTAACCGCGAAACGAGTCAGCATTCGCAAGTCACAAGGTGCTCACAAGCATGAAAAGCGAACTAACGAGGGTCCAACATAGTTACGGTTTCTGATGAATGGCGAATAAAACGCTGATCTTCCGTCTATCATTGTTCATCTCATAACGATATGGTTGACATATTTTCAGTTTGTTTACCCGATAGTCATTCATGAAAATTATCGCATCGTTGCTAAATGAATGTCAGGGAGTAGAGAAAGGAAGAAATTTGTGATAAATGGTGTACATTCGAGAGACACGCATGCGTGCGTGAGATGAAATTGAGAAGCCGGACAAGCTCATAAGGGACGATTTTCCCCGGGTTGAAAATTAGGTGATTAGATGGCGTGTTAATTAGCGCCTTCTCACAGGCGTCCGTACAAACGGCTGTACACATCGGCGATACCAGCATAAAAATGTCAAACAAGAACAGTGATATCCCTCGACACGGATCCACCCAATTTCCGCTAGGCGAGCCAACAGGGATAAATCAACCTTGTCTTCCGGGTCGAGTGTCACAGACGAGTGTGTCGCGACTCGCCCGAACGAGAACACGTTCCTGCCGCTACAGTTCCGGGATATCGGCGTCTTTTGAGGAGAGACCACTGCTACACCCGAGATGAGGCGCAACACGCGGATATTTATTTGGAAAAGGGAGTCGCGCTTGTCGCAACGCCGACCTCTCCCTAGGTGGTCCAATTAATCCTCGCTGTTCCAAAATTCGACAACGAACGGCAAGCGACGTCACGATGACTTATTGCCATCAATTAAGATACTTGATATTAACGTGTAATTTTGAATTGAAACATTGAAAAATAAAATTCCTCATTAATGATATCGTAAATTCGATAAACATTAACGCACTTGATAACATATATAGGAAAATAAAAAACGAAAGTAATAATTTGAAAATGAATTCAAGTATACTTTCAATTTCTCTCCTACGGCAAGTACCTTTTCACGCAAGAGCGGAAAGCAACTCGCTTCTTAGCAACATCTGTAATTCATAATCGTAGTATGAGATGTCAGTCGCGATCGTTTCTCGTATATATTCAGTCGACTTATTGCAGTGATTTCGTCGATGATTTTGTGACTTGCGACAAACCGTGCACGTCCGCGATAAGCCCTCTCAAAGAAAACACGCGTACTAATATCTCCTCTTTTCTTTACGCGTGCCCGAATGCTCCACACATGCATTGTGTAGATACGCTGTATCGGAGACTGGCAGTAGAAGCTGTCGCGCGACTTTCAGTTTATTTGCTCGTTGCAGGTTTGTGATCGTTTTTGCGTCTTCGACGATGCGGAATCGAGAAAAAGAGAATAAGTGGTTGGAAGGAAAGAAGGGAAGAAGGAAGGGGGATGGAAGAAAGGAATAATGGAAGCAAGGAAGGAAGAACGGAAAAGTGGGTGAGAGAGAAGGAGGGAGGGAGGAAAGGAAAAAGGAAGAAGGGAGAAAAAGGAAAGAAGGGAAGAAGAAAGAAACGGAAGAAGAAGAAAGAAAGAACGGAGGAAGGCAGAAAGGACGCAAGAAAAGAATGAAGAAAGAAAGGATGGAAGGAAGGAAAATAAAAAGAAAGAGAAAAAACAGGGAGGAAAAGAAGAAAGGAGAAAAGAAAAAAGGAAGGAAAGAAGACAGGGAGAAAGAATGAAAGGAAAGAAGAGAAGAAGAAAGGAAAGAAGGGAGGAAGGGAGGATGAAAGGGAGAAAGAATGGAATGGAATGAAGGAAGAAAGAAAGAAAGAAAGGAAGGGAAAGAGCAAAAGGAAAGGCAAAGGAAGCAAGGGGGAAAAAAGGAAAGAAAAGAAGAAGGGGGAAAAGAACGGAGGAAGGCAGGAAGGAAGGAAAAAAGAAAGGAGAAAGAAAGGTCAGAAGGAAGAAAAGTAGAAAGAAAGGTAGGGAAACAGGAATGAAAAGAAGAGAAGAAAGGAGAAAGCAAAGAAGAAAGGGAGAAAAGACGAAA